ACAGGCAACCGCCATTCTCATCACTTTTCATTTCTGTCTGGTATTTCAGTGTATGATTTAACTGCTATATGTGTAATCTCTCTCTTGTTGATAGTCATTTGCATTATTTCAAGTTGGGAACTATCATGAATGAACATTCATATATTCATTGATAATGTTCATTATAATATGAACATCTTTTGCATGTATTTTTGGAGACATATATTTTTCTCTCAGTTCTTAGAAATTTCTAACTCATCACCTATGTGTGTATTTAACTTTATAAAGAACTGCCAAGTGGTTTTCCACAGTAGCTGTGTCATTTTACACTGTGACCAGCAATGTATGATTCAGTTGCTCTTCATCCTTGCCAATATTTGATATTTTCAGTCTTAATGGGAATAAACTGTACCTCATTGTGGTTTTAATTTGCATTTCTCTGATGACTAGTGAATTTTGCACTTTTTCTTGAGCTTACTGGCTATTTGCATGTCTTCTTTTGTGTTGAGTCTGTTCATGTCTTTTTCCCATTTTTTCAGTTGGTTGTTCTTCATATTGTTGACCTATAAGATTCTTTATATATTCTAAATCAAGTCCTGCAAACATTGTTTTTCAGACTGTGGCTCCCCTTTTCATTTTCTTCACAGTGTCATCTTGTCAGCAAACATTTTTAGAAGTTTTTATTCTTTCCACTGATCTATTTGTCTCTACTTACACCAATACCATACTGTCTTAATTACTGTAGCTTTATATTTTTTGTTCTTTTTCAAGATTGTGTTGCCTATTCTAGATCCCTTGCATTTTCATAAACATTTTAGAATCATCTTATCAATTTCTAAAAAAATATATAATAAAAAGCCTGGTAGATTTTGATTGGTATTACATTGGATCTATAAATCAATTTGGGGATAATTAACATGTTAATAAAATTGAAACTTCCAATCTAACAATATGGTATATCTCTCTATTCAGTTACAGTTTCATTAATGTCTCTGCAATGCTGCTTTCATTCTCATTATGGAGTATAAATTATAATTCAATTCATTGTTTTATTTTTGTTATTACTAGCATATAGAAATACATTGTTATATTGACTTAATATCATATAACTTTGCTAAATTTATTTATTAGTTCTAACAGTTTTTTGTAGATTCTTTAGAATTTCCTAAACAATTATGTCAAAGACGCCATTTTTAACCTTTCTTAACTCTCTCAATTGTTACCCACCTGTGAAATCCCACAGGTTTTGCTCTCCTATCAGTGCCTCCCTTACAGCCCTCATTATCTATATTGTAATCACCTGTTTACCTGCTGCGCTCTCAGCGAGAAAATGTCATTTTCTTCATTTTGTGTTTCCACTTCCTAGGGCACAAAGCATATATGTGTGATGAATAAATGAATGAATGAATATATAGATCTGGGATTACTTATTCCAAATAAATATTCCAGATACTTTGTTTCCTGCCCTATAGTACACATGCTATGTATCTCACTTTAAAAGTGAACAGTGGACCACAGAGCTCAATGCTCTGCCCAATAAGAGCACAGAAGTAAAGGTGACTAGAAGGTAGAAAGTCAGAATGCTTCACATTCTGTATATTGTTAAGATGACTTAATGCCGCTACATGTATGGGTCTCCTACCTAAACCTCACACCTCTTCTTTCCTTCCATTCTCAGAAATAGCTAGAACAACATAACCATATATTCTAAACAGAAGGTAAGACTCCCTAAAGGGGATAAAGTGCCAGATCAGAAGAGGTTTTACTGAAAGTAAAGTAAAAGAACCCTCGGCTTTACCAATACAGGACCTTGGAGAAGTCACTCCTGGAACTTCTTTCTCATATCTAACACCTGGGTTTGGGACAGGGTAATCTTAAGGACTAAAGTTCTCCTTATGCTTGTGGCTTGGGCAGAATAATATTACACGTTGCTGTCTTACATCTTGTTTATTATTCAGTACTATTTGTACTCCCGTCATTGTATGGTCAACAAATTAATTTATTATTATGTGTTCTATGTATTCCTACAATGTAAGACACTTTTTTTAGCGAGCATGTACTCTCTAATGACAAGGCAAATCAGTGACAATTCATGCCCTTTTAGGACATAAAAGCACTAGTTGGTATAATAAATACTTCCTGTTTCCATCCAAGAACACATCCACCTTCCCTCCTTGCAGCAGGCCAAAAGAAGTGACTGTGAAGTTGATAACAAGTCTGGACATGAGTTTTCACATGTCCTTCTCATTTCTTCACTTTCCTAAACATAGGATTTGTACCTTCTGAGAGTTATACCAGAATCCTTGTGCCCTATATTTAACAAGCTGTTATTCATTAAGTATTTGATGGGAAGAGAAAAGAAAGATGCCAACACTGTGTATCTGGGGAAGACCCTCAGCCAGCCTTTCAAAGTTGCCAAACCTGATTGCAAAGATGTAAGTTCTGGTCTAACATCTCCGCATTAAATCCATTTATAGCAACTGGGTAGACAATTCTAGAGTCACATGTTTGAAGGCACAGTTGTAAAACTCTTCGAGAGAACCTGAATTTAGGGTTTCTAATTAGAGTTTGCCAATCTACCATCCTGTAACCCATTTAGAAGGTAGTAATTAGCATTCTTTCAATTTGAAAAATGGAGCGGATAAAGATAAATTACGTTTCATGAAGCTTTTGTTGTACTTGTGGGTGTGCGTGTATTTCTATACTGGGTCATATATAAAATGTATACGACTGTGGGTCACAGGCAAAAGGCTCACAAGCCTCTGTTGTAGCCTTCCATTCATTTTCATTTAGAACTAAAACAGCATTCTTCATTAAAGGGGAAGGGACATGAAAATTAAGATAAAGAAATTAATTTTTCACAAGGGAATAGATGGGGGAGGGTTAACTTTGCATTTTCATAGTTGCTCAGAGAGCTGGAGATAGGTAAACTTAAATCACAAGGAAAGCCACAATTAGCTTATCCCCCTGATAAGTTTCAGATGCCTCCCTCAATGAATCTACCTTTTCATACCTTCTTTGGTGAACCAGACTAAAAAACGAATTGTCTTTTTATTTCTTGATTATATCTTTCTCCTCTGAATTGCATTAGATTCAAGAAATGCAGAAAATATATTTTAAGGGTATATTTTTTAGCACCTATGGTATTCAGGGGTCAGACATTCAAATCTTGGCTTTGTCACTTACAAACTGTATAACCTAGCACAAGAAGCTAACTTCTCTATGCCTCAGTTTCCACTGTAAAATGGGGATAGCTGTGTTGTGAAGATTAAATAAGACTAAACATGAGAAGTGCCTGCAGCAGTAAGCACACTTACCCAGGCTGGCACTGCTCTACTGGCCAGGACACACAGCGTCTGATGGAGTTGCATTCCATTTGAGAAATAGGAAGATGTTCTCCTACTAAACACAGATTGGGCTGCATGATGGTATCATGGGAGGAATACAGCCCTCAAAGTCTAGACTTGGGCTCAAACTCATCAAATCTATTTACTCACTGAATGATCTTGAGTGATTTAATTAACATCTGAATCCATTTCCCCTTCTTTCAAATGAATACCTAATACTTGGAATGGAGATAATGATAACACTTATAAAGCATTGTCTGGAATGGAATGACTCCTGTCAATTTTTCCCTTTCCCCTTGTAATAACTTCACAGGAAGAAAAAAAGGTAATCCTAGTTCCAGGGTCCCTCACTGTGCATTTTGGAAGTCCTTGGTGATTACTTCAAAGTCAGGGTATTGCCCTCTGGTCACCACTAACAATACACTACAGGCAAATGTCACTTGCAACAGCAAAGTATCCCCGTGCAATCAACTACATCACAGATCTTTAGAACAAATTGTCATTTCCACGGGAATTGTATTATTACCACTGGAATCATTTTTTCTTGATAAAATGGTTTAAAATATTAAAAATAAAAATTTTAGAAAGCCATAATTCACCTTCTTACTATGACTATTTTTTGTTCTTAGCTATTACCTTGTAGTCTATTCACATGCAGAGATTGTGTCTCATAGTTTTTCTCAAGGACTAAACTATTTACTTTTTAAAGACTTTATTTATTTATCTTTAGAGAGAGGGGAAGGGAGAGAGAAAGAAAACCAGAGAAAATCAATGTGTGGTTGCCTCTGGAGTGCCCCCTACTGGGAACTTGGTTAGGAACCCAGGCATGTGCCCTGACTGGGAATCAAACCAGCAACTCTTTGGTTGCTGGCACTCAATCCACTGAGCCACACCATCCAGGGTAAGGACTAAATCATTTATATTCTACTTTTTCATGTTATGTTATCCTATAAAACAGCTTCCAAATGTATCACCTTGTAAAAGTTTTGTGATATCAAGTATGAGTATTATCTTCAGGTTTATGCTACAATAGGCCTCTTAATGAAAAATATTTTTTTATTTTTCTCTTTACTAGATTATATTCTATGGAAAAATTACAAAGGCCTTGATGTTTTATATTCCTCATGTATTCCCCAATAAAATGCAAGTGGCCCTTTGTTAACAAAGAATTGATTCCTCATCTCATGCAGCCAGGAATTTGATCTGGGGGCTGATTTCAGACTTGGAGAAATTGAGGCACAAATACACCCAACTAGACCTGCCCTTAGAATCCATTCAGGCAATACACTTGCCTCATTTTAAAGTGGCCAGGAAAAACAATATGCATATTTCAGCAGTGGAATCCCATGACACACCACACAGTTTTTTAAGAGGTAAAAACCACCCTGGACTTGCTGGAAGTCTGGAGCAGAAATGAAGGAATGGGGGAGGGAAAACGGGAAGAGACTAAGACAAGTAATCTGTTATACATACATTGTGTGCAGCAGGAGCAAACGGAAAGGGAGCTCAGTGTGCTTGAAGAGGTAGGATGTAAATCTGTCCTTCTACATGGGTATTATGTCCTATCAAAGTCTATTGTTTCATGGAGCACAAGCCTAACAATATCCCATTGTGGCAAATGCAAAGGCCAGTTGGTTAAATCCCAGTTTTCCAGGTCACTTCCCTCATTTTCAGCCTCCGGTACTATACCCCTGAGGATGGTTCTGCTCTCCCTACCTGGCTACCCTGTTGGCTGAGTAAGTAAAGATGGTCTAGTTTGCAGACACTAACAATCTCCCAAACTTGGTCTGATTTTTATTAAGTGTAAATACTGTAGCATATCTTTCCAGAGAGATGCCATGGGAAAAGCTATCTTTGAAATTGCCAACCCAGAGCCTACTGCAAATCTGCAAAGCCACCCTTGCAACTACAAGGATGTCAAAGATGCTTGTGGGGGAAGGGAAAGTATGAAATATAATTAGGTAATTGAAGAAAATGATCAGTTTCAAACTGTTTTGATCAAGGATTTGAACAAGGATGTTGCACACCAATGGAAGATGTTCTTAAGGGTTTTGAACAAATCAGTGGATGGTTTGATATTTTCATTTTAAAGGGAACTTAAAGACCAGCTTCAATTGCAAGAGACTTTGCTTGAAATAAACTGGGAGTGAGTATGAATACTAAGTAGATTTCTAAATCTACTGGGCTATAACAAAAATATGGCTACCAAATGTCCTTCCTGCATGCAGATTTCTCAGGTAGCATATTTGTTTGGCACAAGAACTGGATAATCAGCCAACTGGGATTGGTTGATAAAGAGGCATTGGGATGATGGAAAACTGCCTAGAAGTCATATACTTCATATTCAATACCTCCTAGATGAAGAGGGCGATAATTTCTAATGAAGAGATTTTATGTTACTTTTTTATAGTTTCTATGGGGCAGCATACAAATGAAAACCCAAATGTTTCAAAGAAGGGAAAATGTTGTTGTTGCCAGTATGTTCTGTGGCCGTGTTCTTTGCCTTTTCCTTCCTGTCTGGGTCAGAGGATTTTGGTACAGATTGACCTTGGTACAAGACTCCAAGATAAGCATGCCTGCTGAGCATGGGAGTACACAGACAGAAAGAAGAGGCTGGGTCTTGGGTCTCCTAGGCTGATTCCTTTGAAAATGGATGAGTTGCAGAGTTTAAAATGTATTCCTGCCTCTGGTCAAGGAGCCTGTGAAGTGTAATTGGAAGAAAAACATCCCAGGACTGACATTCCCCTTCCTTCAGTGACTGTGGGTTAACTGCTCAAATTCTTTGTTGGGTCCCTTCCTCTATCTATAATATGGGGTGATGACCATTCTTTCTTCCTCCCTAGGATGCTATTGAGGAACAAAGAGCCTCAGTGTTGGTGAAAGTGCTACATAAAAGTAAGTTATTTGTATTTTGGGTTGATTAACAAACATTTAGGGAATAATGGTACCTGAGCATGCACTCATGGCATACTCCTTTCAGGAGTCCTTAGTAACAGGTGAACCTCTTAGCAAATCCTTTCCTTTTTACACTGACTAGTTGAGAACTGCTTTTCCTATTTGCAAAGGTTGTATTTCATTTTGTTCTCCGCAGGGGTTGGGGTGTTGGGGTACCTACTGATAACTTACTCAGACCCAGCAGGAAGTTCATTAGGTCTAAGCTCTGTGGAAAAGGTGGAAATAGGCTAAGGGCAGTAAGGAACTTATTGGAAAACAAACCATAATATACATTTCTTTGGATAAACAAGACATAGGTAATATTTTCTAAATCATCTTATGATTTTAACTTAAAATGTCTGCTTTTTCTGTGTCTACCTATGTTATATATTTTTAAGATTCTTTGGATCCCAATTTTTTAGATCTGTCCTCAATCCCTGATTTACTAAAGCATTATCCTTTTTCCTATCTGACTGTAGAAGAATACAGTGCTCTCTAGGTAAGCACTATATTCTCTTCACCAGCCTCAGTGAATACTTAGGGGGTATGGGTGACTGAATGTCACATGGAACCTTTGTCATAATATAATAAGAAAATAGTAAGTTATTACAATCCTTTTGTGTGATTTATTCATGCTATTTCTCTATCTGTGAAATGGGGCATTTGGATAAAATGATACAATCTGGTTCAAAAATGGAGCAAACAATGTTCTTTTACTATAGGGATTTTCTCTTCTGCTCTTGCCCCCTTTAACTTTTCTTCCTCCTCCAGAAGTTAGTAAATAATCAACCCATTTTCAGAGGCTGAATTTGGTGGGGTTTGAGGGGAGGTGGCTTATAGATTCCTCTGGTTCACTCCACCCTCATCTACCTTTCCAATATTTACCAACGGGAAATCTCAAGAATTCTCTGAGCAAGTCAGCAACCATGTGGGGATTGACTCATAAAACAAAATCTGTCCCAGGCTCAGGGAATACAAAATGAGTGATTGCTTGTCTTTTAAGGGTCTTTCCATCTTAGTGGAGGAGAGGGTCAGAAAAACAGAACTGTAGTATAATGAAGTCAGTATCTGCAAAGCACATGCTCAAGTAGGAGGAGCATAGACAGGGCACTAGAGAATGAACCTATAGTCAGTCAGTTGGGTGTCGCATCAGCACACAGCTCTCACAGCAGTGTGGGTTCAGATTTGTGGGCTCCATGGCTAGGTTACACCAAATGGAGTAAATGGTAAAGTGTTGGAACTCTAAGGGCCATTGAGCTACTTTCTAAACCTTCTAATATAATTAGATTTCATTCTGTTGGAGGTGAGAGACCAGTGGCCAGAGATCCGGGTCTCCATTAACCTTCACACAATGGGGCTGATAAAGCCCTCTCTTCAAACAATGTCTTGATGATCACTTTATCAGATGTAATTACATTTTGTAATCTTACAGTGACTTTCTTACAGGTACCAAGGGACTCAGGTTAAGGATCTTCCCAAAGGTTATCTGTTTAGATTCTGCCCAGTTTAAAGTGGCAGATCTAAGCTTTATTAAGCATTGTCCTAGCTCTACAGGTGGTGTTACAGTAAAGCAATGCCCTAAACTGGTACAGACTGACCCCCAGTGTTGGGGCCATCTAATCAATGCCTATCTCTGAACAATATCACTACACCACTTATGCCCCTCCCTTCTGCTTGTGGAGCCTGAGGCTGATTCAACCTCAAAGGCAGTTGGTAAAATTCCAACTGAGGTGCCTGGTTTGTTCAGTGAGATCACCTGGACTATAATCACCTCACAGGTGAGGTTTGGATTACACATGAAGCTCATGGTTTCTAGACCCAAAGATTTCACATACTAGGAGGCTGCATTAAAACCTACCCTGTTTCGAGATTGTGTTAAAACCTCAGGTAGATGTGTCACCCACTTGAGTTATATGCTTGTCCTTATCCAGCATTTCTTATTTGTGAATTAATTAAAGAGAAAAAAAAAGTGGGGTGGGTGAGTGGAGGAGGGAATATATATATGTGTATGTATATGTGTGTGTGTGTGTGTATTCATCATTAACTTTAAATATCTTAAAGTTACCCAAAAATTTCTTTGGCAAATTCCTTTCTTCTTGTGGAAATAGCCTCCTATCCATCTCTGATCACGCTCCTTGCTTAGTCCTGGTTTAACTATAAACCCCTTTACCCTCTCAGTAAACAGAGACATCACTGTCCACCATACCTAAATCTATAAGGTAAAAACCAAAACACAACAACAACAACAACAAAAACACCTCAGCATTTCTCTCTTTTTAAGTAAGAACCTTGAATATCTGCTTAAATTACAAAAAGAAAAACCTTGCATGTCCATTCTTTGGAAACAGCTGCACAATACTTTAATTTCTAATGCATTGGTTCCTATCCTTACACTGTCAGGGCTCATCCTTAACCTTTGCTTGTTACACTCAAGTTCTTCAGGGGGTAGCTGTTAAACTGTGATACGGCAAAGTTGTCCTTGTGAAAAAGTTCTCCTACATTTTTGTTCACAACGTGTCCTTTTAGAAGTGATAAATGTTTCTGACATCCAGTTAATTTAGGCACTGTAAGAATGAACTGGTGAGAAGTGATAAATTAGCACCTGGTCTGGTGTGATCACAGAAGTCATGCCCAATGCAGTTTGGACACCTGGTGTCCTGGGGAAACATAGTTTCCCAAAAAGATCATCACAGCTCTGCCACTAAACCAGCTCTGTGACCAAGAGTCACTGAACTTCTATGTAGTTTGAAATTTACATTTTTATGACGGAATGGGACCTATGATGTCACTGGTAGGCCTAAAATGCACATCCTCAGGATTATGTTGGTTAAGCACAGATAGTCCACTGTAACAGCAGGACTTAAACTGGTCAGGCAGACCTTCCTTCTTCTACCATCTTTAACTTATGAGAACTATTAACCTAATTTATTTTTTAAGTGGTGGTATTAATACCAAGATGACAACTCTGCCAGAAAAGAAAAAATCCTAACCACTTTTTAAAAATTACATTTATTAAGTTAACATTTATTTCCAAGTGCCAGGTAAGCTCTTTAAAAGGAATCACTGGGTTAAATCTCACTCCAGTCTTTAGGGTTGGTGCCATTATCTTCACCATTTTTGAGAGGAGGAAACTGAGGTACAGAGAGGTGAGGAATATTCTCAGGGTCATACACTAGTAAATAGTGAAGCTAGGATTAAAATGAATCCAGACTGCATGTTCTTTACTATTACTCATGCTATCTAAAACTCATAGTGATTTGAATTGCAATTCATCTGAAAACACCAGGGATTGCACAGAATAATCAGTGTGTTCTACAGGACTGGGGCTGGGACTAAAATCCTTTACTTTCATGGACTTGGGTTATTGTTAAAATATCCTTTATAGTCCTCTGAGGTAAAATCTATAAGTTCTTGCATGAATCAGAAGAAGAAATGTCAAAGATGCTTGTGGGGGAAGGGAGAGTATGAAATATAATTAGGTAATTGAAGAAAATGATCAGTTTCAAACTGTTTTGATCAGCTGAATTGTTCTCTATTTATTGTACAAACAGAATGGGGTGATCAAAGACAATTTGTGTTCCTATCTTAGGGGAGTGGTCATTGTGATTAGCAGTTTCTGAAGATATTTTAACAGCCCCACCCTGCCTCTATTCCTCTCACCCCCAGTTAAGCAATCAGTCCTAGAGGCCTGAGGACCCCACCTCTCTGTGATATGTAGAGGTGGGAGAAAGGAGCGAGTAAGCAAGCAAGCTATGCAAAGAATTTGTAGAGGACACACAAGTTCATGAATGGAATGGCCTTCAAGATCCCCCAAATATCTCATTTCCAATCTTCTTTTGTATTAAAGAACATGGTCTGAAACCACAGCCAGCCAGAATTAAAAGACAAAGCCCATTTTCCATGAGGAATGGCCCTTCTCCATGGAACGCCCTTCCTCTCATATTCTTACAAAATGATGATTGACTGACCCTCTAAGTGTGGAATCTCCTGTTGATCACCCTGCCCATCAGCTAACACTGAACTCTCCTATAACCTCCTCTTTAAGTAAGCTGTGGACAGGTAGCCAAAGAGAGTGGGTAGGACAGGGCATTCAGGCCAAGGCAGCAGCCTATGTAAAGGCCAGGAGAAGAGAAAACACGCAGCTCACAAACACTGAGCAAAGGTTCTTCATCTTGGCTGCCTATTAGATTCACCTGGAGAGCGTAGGAAAGTCTCCAAGTCCATGTTGCACCCCAAATTAATGAACAGGTTCTCTAGGGTCAAGGCACAGAAATCTGTGATCTCAATGCAGCCATGTTTGAGATCTCATGACCTGGATTGCAGAGAATGAGCCCAAAGAAAAGCCAGGGATGAGGTTGAGAGCTGGCATTGAAAAGTATATGGAGGAGATAGTGGGGCCTTCAACGAATTTTCTGTTGTTGTTTTTTTTAATTGAATTTTTGGGTGGTACTGATTATCAAAATTATACTAGTTTCAGGTACACAATTTCACAACACATCATCTGTACACTGAACTCTATGTTAGGCACCCCAAGTCCCCTTATACCCTTTCTCAATACCTAAGATCCCCCTCCCACAGCCCCCACCCCCAGAATTCACCACACCATTGTCTGTGTCCATGGGTGGGGTGGAGTGAAGGGATTGAGAGAAAAAAAAGAGAAAGAAAACTCATGGAATTCTCTGTTTTGTTTTTTTTTAATTATGAGAGAATCATGATCAGATGCTGCAGGTGAATAAGAAATGGGAATGCAACAAAAGTGAAGCAGGAAAGACAGTAAAGAGGCTGCTGTGAAAGCAAGACAGGGGATGGTAGTGACTGGCCAGGGCTAACTCCAGATACAGTCAGCATCCAGAGCTCACAGAAGGTGGGCTTGAGATAGAGGGAGTGATATGGGAAGAGTCAGGGAATGGGGACAGCCGCATGACCAAAGGAGATGAAGAATGAAGAGTGGGTCATGACTA